TTTAGCCAGTTCTCAAGTCTTACAAGCTCCAGTTACAGCCAGCTCCAAGGAAACATAAGTAGGAGGCTCCAGAGCTACAATTCCTATGCGTTTACACCTGGGATAAGGTTGTATCTACCCCTGCTTTTGCTTCCAAAGAAACAAAGCCAAACAGCACATAATTAAACCCATCGCTTGATGCAAGCTTTTAAAAGTGAAATGATTGCCAATAAGCCCGCATCACACAGAAATGGATGCTGCAGTTTTCTGCAACTCACAGCTAATGACTACTGGGATTTATTTTAAAGAAAATATCAAAGAAAGTTGCCCTAGATAAGGATTTTGAAAACGTTATACTTTTGACGCAGTCACCTTCTAACTTAGTGAAACTCTATCAAAGGACTTGTTGAACAGCCAGAGGGAAAATGGTATGGTGAAACATTCTGCTTGACTCATGTCTGTATATGAAAGCGTAAAAGTGATTTTTTAAAACATTTTTGTGTTATTTACATTATCTACCAGAGAGAAGAGTGACAAGCCAAAGAACTAGCTAGCTGGTTTCCTCTCCAAAGTTCATATTCAATTAATCAAATATTTACCTACCCTTTTTTTAAGCTCAATCATACAACTAGTTCTGTGCTCCATGCAGTAAAAATTAGATTTGAAGAACACTTCAGAGAAGCAATACATCATTTTTATACTTGGTGACATGGTAAGCCTGAATCTTTCAGACTGCCTTAGGCTAGGATCAGAAAGAAGGGAGCAAAGCCAGAGCCTTTAGTTTCATGGACTGTTTTGATTCAAGTAACAGGAAAACTCTGATCCACTCAGTTGCATCTTTTCATGTGTCTGCAGTACCAGTTAGACAAAAATGAGAAAAAAAAAAAAAAAAAATTTAAATTTTTTGTCCAGGTATCATTAAAGCCCATCAGTCGAAAAGAATTCTAAGAATAAAAATCAAATCTAAGTTGAAAACCAAGAACAGCTTAAACTGTATCATCACAGTAGAGGAAAAATAATAATTTGCTCCCCAAGTAAAGTGCTATCCTTCTAAGCAAATTTTTAATTGCATATTCTGTATTTAAACATATTGAAGACATTACATATTCTGTAATTAAACACATTGTAATTAATTATTTAAAATATTATATTTATTTTTAAAATATTATATTATTAAAATAATAAACATTACAATATTGTAATATTGTAATAATTGTATTCTGTAATTAAAACATATTAAAGACATAAGATTTCTTCACCAACAGAAGTCCAACTGCCATTTGCCTACAGTCTCTTTTCATTAGAAAATGTACATGCATAGATTGCTTTACAGACTTCCTATGAACAACCCAATCCAAGCAACTGCTATTCAAGCCCTAATATCTACTTAAAATGATGTCTAGAGTTACAGCCCTGATTTCTTTTCACAGTGAGTTGCAAAGCTTTTGTTTTCCCCATATTCTTTACAAAACCCTTGTTTACCCTTGTAAATTAGTAGTTCAGACTGTCAGATACCATTTCTCCATTCAACAAATGGCCTTACACCAGCTTCTTTAGAGCTTTCACAGCCAGCACGGGGAAGACAGAAGTAGATAAATTTAGACTATGAAAATTAGTTGAAACCCACGCAATACAAAAACAACTGTACTTCTTGGAAGCCATGTGTTTCAGTTGCAAAATTTGTCCCAAAGCCTACGCAGACAGTTTTACTGTGAAAATGATAACAAAACAAAAACAACCACCTTAACGCTTCAGAGATTTTCATGTATTTTAGTTGACACATGAGTACTAGCCTCATTATACATTTTCATTGTAATTTCTGCTTCCAAATCCCTTAGGCTCATTTTCAAACTCTGCTGAGTTACTATCACTGTATATTCCCTTACCAAACAGCACATGTATCAAGGCAGCTATACTGAAAAAGTGTTTGCAAACTAAATCTCCATTTTTTTACACCAGGCATTGCTATGACAACATACTACCACACTACAGCTCCAGCAATGCAGGAAGCACTATTCATTTCTACAGTGCTTTCTTCTATCATCAGGTTTCCAATTTCCTGTATTACTTACTTTGAATTCTTGTGAATCAATTCAGTTGGTGTTTTAATTTTCCCAGGTCTAATGCAACTTTACATCCTCACAGAAAAAAAAAAAAAGCCATTTATCATAGTCTTCAGTGTATGACCTTTTCTCAGAAACTATTCCTACAGACAACTCATTTCAGTTCTTAGCAACATCAACTTCACCTAACAACTCTTCTCCTTTCAGGTTTTCCAACAGCTTCAATGACCCTTAGCTTTACTGCAGATTTGTTGTATACATTTTTTGAAATATCCTGCATATTTAACCTGATTTCTCATGTTTTATTTACTAGTCTTCCTTCCTGAAGTTTCTGTACTTCACATTTCCTTATACTTATTGCATTCATTATTAACTTTTTCTTTCAATATATTATACTTCAAATAAGCCAAGTCTTATTTATACTTCAAATACACCTCCTTTCTTTTTTTTTTATCAGTTAATTAAAAGACAAAAACCACTTTCTTCCTCTCAGTGTGCTTCTCCCACCTCTTTCTCTAGTCTCATACAGTTGATCAGAGTACAGAAAGAACAAGTTTTTTGTTGAAAAACTATTCCTTTGAAAACAGAAGCCCACAATGAAGGTAAAAGGATTTTGGAGAAGAAAACTCATTTGAAGGGCTGCCAAAAGCAACAGGTTAACAACAACAACTCTCAAAAAACTTGAACAACCATGGAGGAGACCAAAAGCAACATGAAGGGTATCCAGAAAAAAACCTCAGACATATGGAAAGTAATGTCCTGAGAACAAAGAATTCAGGTTGCTACTTTTATGGAACTCATTTCAACTGGCTAAATAGCTGACATCAATTTAAGGCAATTATGAAAATAAAGATGAAAAATAAACACACAAGCACTTAGCAAAACAAAACTGAGCTATTTGAAATATGTTTAATGAGTAACACAGACTATCTGCTAGAAGTTCAGTCTCCAACCTCTAGCTTCAATGCTTAGCCTCCATTCCCTTACTGGCTTCTTTAGGGAACATAACAAATTAACATAGTTTTTTTGCATGATGTGAATATCTGCCTATTATGTATTAGAATGAAAACCACCCACACAGATTTCATGTAGAACATCAAATGGTCATAAAGGAGAAAGAGGATGCTTATTAAAATTCCCAAACAAACAAAAGAAACGTAATGGTACTACACTGCAACAGTATCATCTAGACCTCCTTACTGACAATTTTGGAAATATATCCAGTTCATAATATTTTATTAGTCTATATAAAACATGTGATTTATCTCTTCCAGAAAACCTCTTACTGTTATTCTTAGACCCAGTATTTAATTAGCCTTTCAAGCTAACGTTCCTGATATTTGCAAAGAAATCATGTGTTTAAATTGTTTTTATGTCCAGCACATTACCAGGATATAACTTTCATGATCAACACGTATTCCTAATAACACTCTTGCTATCCTTGCTTCACATTATGTTATTAACTGTATTCTGGTGCCTGTCCTCTAGTCAGTGTACCAAAGGTATCCCAGGTAAGCCCTGCCTGTTACAGACAAGCTGAGTGCTTCCTGCTCTCTTTACAATCTCTATCCCAACTGCATTTAACTAACTAACTAACTAACTAACTAAGACCAAAGATATCTAGAATAATACTTTGATCCTGCTCAGGCACTATCAATGACTACACAAAGGGTCCAGAAGATGCAGCATCAACCTGAAGCCTCATATTCAGATCAAACCAATTACATTTTGAATTATTTGCTTTCTGATATGTAACCTTCATAAGTGTAACTAGTTCAGGTATAACAGGACATCATGCCAATTCACCATTCATCTTCTTTAGGCAAATTGCTTTTCATTTCACCAACAGCTTGCATACTGTAAAGTGTACAAGTCAGAGAGCTTGTGCTGTTGACAACTCTCAGAACATGACAAGAATTTCTGATTTTATCCTCTCCTGATTTTTCACAGGCATTTTGCTAGTATAAAGGGTTTAAGCAAATTCTCCAAAAATAGTTCCAGAATATATTGTATGGATTATTTGCCAAATATGAGCTGTATCTGGTTTGAGCTGTCTTTTCTCTCCAGTCCTACCTAATATCTTCTTCCAGATTTTGCCACAGTATGTGCTAGAGGCTTCTAAGGAACAGAAAAGAAAGACCAGCAAGTAAAATATCCAATAATGTTATTTTTGCCCAGGAGGTCCTATCTGCACAGAGCTGTCTATATTCACTAGAGCTGTTTGCTATCTATGTCATATGACAACAGAGCAGGAGAAGGAAATATCATGCTGTACTAAAATTTTAACCTGTCCCTGCTGGGCTGGAAATCCCAGTGGTACTGTTCAGGTTTGACAACACTGTATGAACCCACACTCTTTCTTGCAGCTGATGATAAGCTCATACACAAGTATGTTAAGTGTTACCAGCCTACCATAATGTCAGTTTTATTTAGGAGAGTTTTTGACACTTGGTAAAATAATGCATTACAAGAACATCCGGTCATCAGAGAGGCAGGCTTAATTGCAATACTCAGACCAGCACGATGAATATACTATTGGGATGACTATCAAGATAATAAATAGAAATTATCCAGGATCATTCTGTATGCATTTAACTCATTTCTGATGACAGTAGGATGGGAAAACAAATATATCATTTACTTAGCTGTACAGAAGTGCTTAGTCAAGACGTGATGAATATAGTCATCTTAGAAAAGACACTTAAGACTCTATTGCACTGATATGCTTGGAAACTCATTTACTAAATACAGTTGGTATAGAATTCATTTTTCCACAACATTTTCATTTCTTTATTTGACATTAAAAAAAAAAAAAAAAAAGAAGTGGAAGAAAAAGCTAAGGCTATAGAGCAGGAAGAACACACTGCCAATTAAAATTGCTAAGTCAGAAGAAAAAAAGATGATAGTTCAAAAGAGGACAAAAGTAGGGGTCTAATTAGAGTCAAACAATCTTCTTACCTGGAAAGAATCAGAAGAATGATTTCACTGTATGATGAAATCTTAATGCACTTGATAGCAAAATAGTTTATTGCATTTCTCAGGGAGAATACATTCATGTGCTGCACTTCATTTAGAGTCACCTAAAAATAGAGAAAGCAACATCTGAGGAACTACAACTGGATTTCAGTGAAGAAAATACCTTAAGAATAAGCAGAAAATAATACCAGGATTCCCCACATATTTACACTTTGTAACTATCTGTTAACTCTTGTTTGGTTCAAAGAAGTAATTAAAAACTCCTTGCTTGTACAGACTTTCATAAATCTCAACTTTGAACTGAAATAACACCATTTATGATGCTTCTGGAAAATCTCAGCTACTGTACTGATACACCAGTTACTCTTCTCTTATTTTCTAGACTTCAGCATAAACCATGAAATATAGAGTGACTTTTTAATACACAAATAGCAAAAAGCTCAGCATTGTCTGCAGCACTGTGCAAACTCCACAAATCCAGAGAATATTGTTCATCTGATAACAGCCCTTCTTGGAAGATAATATGAGAGCTCTGAAAAGTATATACCACGCTAAAGTCAGAAGAACTGAATAAGACATTAGTAGCAGCGGCATTAGTAGATGTCATGGCTCATATCCTGAAATTTTTACATATGTTGACTACTTTATGGAGTGGATATTATGCACAGTATTCTCCAATATGCTGTTTTACAAACCGTCAGTTCAAAATACTAAGCCTTACCAATACATTTAGAATTTGTCCAGGGATTTCCCTCAGCATGTTACTGTGCTGTTTCTACTAAGAGAGTTAACTCAGCCAAAAAGCTTCAATCTGTATCCACCCCTTGCTCAAACCCTACCCTCACCAACAAAAACAGTTCTCTACAAGACAAAGGTTTCATCATATGTAAGTGCAGTATGTGCCACGCTGTGTACTGTTTCATGCAATCAAGAATATCCTGAGTTTGCAGAGACACACAAGGTTCATCTAGACCAACTCCTGGCCCCACTCAGCACCACCTAAAATCCAAACTATATGTCTGAGAGCAGTATTCAAACACGCCTTGAACTCCAGCACTTGGGGCTGCACCCATAGCACTGTGCAGCCCGTTCCGTGCCCAGCGCCCTCTGGTGCAGACCCTGTCCCTGACCCCCAGCTCCCCTCCCCTGACGCATCTCCATGCTGTTCCCTCGGCCCGTCGCTGTCACACAGAGCAGAGCTCAGTGCTGCCCCTCTAGATTCTTCACCATCTTTGTAGCCCTCCTTCAGACTCTCTGCAATAGGTTTATGTCCTTTTTGTAGTGAGGTGCCCAAGCCTGCACATGTCACTCAGTGTGAAGCCAGACCAGCACCCTGCCCCTGACACCCAGCTGAATGGGCAGTGGGTATTCAAGCAGGGTTTGCTATGGATTAATATGCTCCTGAATATGCAGCGTGTGCTCTTTTACTGCTGGGTCCTTTATTAAACTACCTGAATATTAGTGGCTCTAAATTGATATGATTAAGGTTTAATGAACTACTGATTAGCACTAATGAACACAACTGAACACACATTTTATTAAATGATTTGTCTCTTTTGAAATGAAAGTAATGTTGGGCCCATTAATAAAAATTATTTGGGTCATTTCTGAGCAACTGTTACACTCCTTGGAGAAAAAGGATAGAAATCAGTCAGTATGCAATCTTATTAGCTTTTACACACATCTAATGCTTCAATAGTTCGAGTTCACAGTATCTATTTTCTAGGTTTAGTAAGGTCAGAAAAAAATTTAGATAAGTCTATATAAGTTTCTTTTGACATGGCTCATTTGTCTCTATGACCTGTCAGGATCAGAAGTTACTTATCATGCAGGGGACTTTGTTCCCTAATTTTAAGCAATAAAATGAGCCTGACTGGGAAAACACACACAAAACAAAACAAACAACAACAACAAAAAATAACTCATGGTTAGAGAAACAATTATTTCTTCATATTATAGTATGTTTTCTGTATCTTCTTGGTCCCAAAGTTTTTGGAACCAAGACATAACAAACACAATCCTTCTTCCACAAGACACAACACTAATTTACCTATAATCCGAAGGTTAAAAGTTGGAAATGCTTTGCAATGCTCTTTACAGAAAGACTGAGGAAGCATTAATGAATAACCACTCTCTTCATATGAGGGTAAAATGGAGTTGTTTGTCTTACAGGACAAAAATAAATCATAGAGTATATGTAAGTGCTCTTGAATCTGCTATGACAAGTGATGAAAATGTTTTAGCTTATTGTTTAGAAACCTGTCTCATAATACCCAAAATTACATGTTAGGTTATTAAGATATCATTCAGATTAAAAACAAATTTAAAAAAAAAAAAAAGGTTCCCAAATAGTTGCCTGCTTCCTACTTCAACTCAAATCAGATACAAAGGAGGAAGGAGTAACAAGAACAGTGACCAGGACAGTCTTCTTCAAATGCTGCATAATCTAACAGGTGACATAAACAGACAAAGAACCTCCAAGGACTAAAAAATGATTTTTTCTTTCTACTTTCATAGACTCTGATGACCATAGTAAGCCTCAAGTCAAATCAGTAAACTTCTACATGAGTTACCTGCCGTCGATGTGTTACATTTAAGGCTCTGATGATGAGGAGGAAGCTTAAGGAAACCAGACACCAATTGCAAAGTTCATGGCACAGAAAAAAAATAATTAACAGGCGCCTGTTGACTTAAAAGAGTCTTCTCTAGTGCAAGGATCATTATAGTTTTTAAATCACTTATCCCTTTGTTAAAGCATGTCCCACCACTCTCCAAGAAACCTCAAAAACAGAGCTAGGGATTTAAAATGTATATATAATATAAATCGTCTTATGTAAACAGGCAGACCCACTATCTCTCACATATTAGGTGAAACAATTAATGTAGAAAAATTGAAGCAGAGATAGACTAATGAGACCTTTACAGGATAATTTCTATATAAATCAGTATAGTGGGCTAAATGCTGCTTCAAATTGTTCAAAAGTGAAATAAGAAGAATCCACATGCATTTCAGTCCAGCTGCTCTGCATCAAAAAGAGTGAAACTGATGGCAGAATTTCACCTATTGCCAGTCTCAAAATAGATTTCTTCCTAGATACTTTGAAAGTTTTCATGTGTATGATAAGAAGAAAAGACAGAGCACATGTACATGGATACAGCCTCCATCAAAGCTTAGGGAAATCACTGGGAATCTCCCTAAGGACTTCAGTCTTTGAGCTGCTTTTACAGTTGAAGGGAGAACGTTGATAGTCTTACTTTATGAACGAACACCAAGGGAAGAAACTCTCCCTTTTGATATTGATCATTCATAGTGTTGTAACAGCACTTGGATGAAACTGAGGAAAACCACCCAAAACCTTTGTTACAAGGGTTGTTACTGAAGCACTGAAGTTACTTTGGGAGTTGGTAAGGCCTTAGAACTGTTGGCAATGGACATTACTACTGTCATAGTTTGTATTATTTCTGTTATTGGTATTTCACGTCATAACATCATGTAGTGCACTGGGAGCTAAAGAGTTAATGCTCTAGTTGTGTGGATTGTCAATAGTTCTGGGTTTACCTTTCTCAGAAGAGAAGAAGAACTACAAAGAATTCACTGTTCTGTTTCTGCTTTCTGTTTAGAGGTAAAGATAAAACGGATTGGGAGTCACTAGATAGCCCTTCTTTTTCTGCTCATTTCTGCAGTAAGTGCTCCCTAGCTGTCTTGCCTTCAACATTAGAGTAAGGCCTGTGGTTTTTTTGGACACACTCTCCCTCATTTTATTTGATTTATTAGCTTCAATTCCAATTACATTGCATTTTACTGTGTTATCTCACATTCCTCTATCATATTTTGTAAATTAGTTTTCTCCCTTAGCTCATTGCTGCTGTTTTGCCTTTAGGTCCATCCCGAGGCATGGGCCTGTGGGTCCCTCTGCCCCATTTAGTGATGGAACCAGGCTGAACCAGGCCAGAACTGTGACAGCTACCACTTTTAAAAAGCTTAGTGCAGGTTTCAGCATGTACCAGTGGTGAAAGTGGGACTTCAGAGGGAATAACATCCCTTCAGAATCTCCTGTAATCTCCTAAGCAACCCCTGTTCAAGACTCCTTTGTTTCCAGGAAGACAGAATTTGTCCTTACTTAGTATGTAGAGAGTTTCTTCAATACCAACACATACAATTTATATTTGTTATCTTCTCACCTGTTTAAGCAGACAGTCTTCCTTATTGTTTACAGAGAAAACATTCATTTTCATTTGTGGATTAAGACATCACTGCTTTAAAGAGTACTAACCAATTTCAAACCCTCAGTTACAAAAGCCAGCTTTAATTAAAAAGCAAAGAAGAAAATTAATATGTGCTTTCCACTTCCAGAAGTATAATCCAGAGAAGAATACTAGAGAAGAAGGAGGTGGTTTTAATTTTTAGGGTCTTCATCAAAACTGCTATTATTAAAATCACAGGAATTATCTAAGAAGTAGGCTGCTCTGAAATTTAACTCAGTTAACCAATGCATTGGAAGAATGTGTGTAGTGCAAATATGCATACTCTGCAGGAAAAAAAAAAAAAGCACCCACGGTTTTAAGAAACAGACAATGTAAAATATTTACATGAGGACTGGTGTTGAATACGTGCTACATCAGACTTTCCAGAGCATTAACAACATTAACTGTTTGGGATTAACCAGCAGCATCCTCTGTAAGAAAGCTTTTCATAATATACAGACTGTTGCTAGGTACTGCCAGCACTTCTGATGGGTTTTTAGTTTGTTCCATAGCTAAAATTGTTTCTAAAACTTTGTTCGTACTGAAGTTATGAATGAGCATAACCCCAATCTAAAAGATTTGTAACAACAAAAACATCAAGAACTTTACTCAACCTTGTCCCTTAGAAAACTGTGTTAAAAAAATGAGACAGTCACTTTTAGGGCTTATAACACAAAATGAAGTGGTAGGACTTCGGCATTTGAAACCACTGCTTAACTGGCTAGCTATAAATCTTAAAAAGATGCACATGATTTGAAATAAAAAAGATATCAAAATTCTCCCTTGAACTTACAGTAAGTATTAAGTTTCAGCAACATGTTGTTTGTTTGTTAGTTTTTTAAAAACACATTAAGAATCC